ACGCGAAGCGGTGCGTAAATGATGAAAGTCTCAGAGAACAGGAAAATGGTCAAGGTCTACGAATGATATTGTCCACTCAGTTTCTTTTTACACTAAAAATATGAATCCATTAAAACTAAGTACTTATATATATTTTTTCCAGTTTGAATTTAATTATTTAATTAATTTAATTTTTAATTTAATTACTTCCTTTAATTACTAGGAAAAATCATGAAATCAAGTAGAAAAGTTTGTAACAACAAGTTAGGCTACATACTGCCCAATGTTACAGCATTACAGTTATGGTTATTAATGAACTAATAGCTATATCTAGTTTTAATTCCTGTGCTCATTGCTATATTTCAGGACCCGAGCCTGAAATCTTCTCGTGGCTTGTGTACGCTGGCTGTGTGGCAGCGCTCCTTACAATACTTATAACCGTCATTATGTCTGTGGGATTATACAGAGGTAAGAATTTAACGCTACTGATATTCTATGCCTAGCCTACACTGTTGTAAATACTAAAAATGTAATATATATATATATTTTTTTTTTTTAATGGTTAGAATAGCTATAGGCCTATGACAACTTAAATAACAAAAATTTATAAAAATTTATACAAATTGAAAATTACAGTAACATCAATCAATAATTGTGAATTAAAATTAAAAATGTATTGGTGAAATTGTCCCGCTGATTATATGTAACATCTTGGCATACATTTTATTTTCTTCATTACAATTCTCAGATATGCTGATGACCAAAAAATCCAGACGGTCAGTATTACAACATATAATTTATAAACTTAAAAACTACAAAACTAATGTAATACAAAGTAACTTAACCAACCCGTAAAATATTTTTCATTTTAGGCTCACGAGAAAAGATGCCCATCGCAAAATTTCATACGGTAAAATTACCTTTCTAAGCTAAAACTGTATATCCTAATGTGATAATGCTGCATTTAATACTCACAATATATGCAATAATAGCTATATTACATAAAGAAATAGTCAAGGAAAACAGCAGCAGACAAATGAACGTGTTTATTTATTTGTTCTTTATCAGGTAAACAGAGCACACTGAGAGAAGAGAGTTCACCTGTTATGGTAAATGAAGATGGTGAACATTGAAGTGGATCACTGGACACTGTATGAAAGACTGTTTCTGCTGTTTCAAAACAACTATTACTTAAATAATAAACTTTTATTGGTGATATCGGTAAAAGTTTTAGCCTAAAATATTTGTACCTAAAAAAAAAAAGGCAAGTAAATAAATTAATAACAAATAAATAGTAGTAGAATAGTATATATATTAAAAACGTGACTTGCTCTATTTTCTAAGTCTTCTAAAGTCACGAGGAACAAATTGTGACTGAAAATCTTTGGCATTGCTGTGTGTTCTGGCGTGCATGCAGGCATTCCAGTTCAAATGTGTAGAACAGGAAATTAAAAATTTTCAGTAATGATGGCTTAAATTTTGGTCTGTTCCTCACAGTTTTTGTCTTCAAATTATTTGGACTAGCATTTTATATCCCTTACTTTAATTGTGCTTTTTGTCCTGTTTGGAGCTTGACAGAGGTGGTCATGAATGTCATGGAATTTCTTTGAAAAAAAAGTGTGTCTTTTTATTACATGGCTCTCTGGATCACTTGATTATTGAGGGGTCAATATTTATTCATTGGAGCAAACTGTTCCTTCAAGCAAACAGACAACAGATAAAATAATCTTAAGAGCATGAGAAAGTTGCAACTATTGTTGGGGGGCAAAATGCTTTGCAAACTTTTAATAAAAAAAAAAAAAAACTGTTGGTAATTTTATAAACCGGTTCTTCAGCTTGGATTTTATGATGTTAATATTTTGTCCAGTGTTTCTCGGGGGATCCCATCAGTCATAGTCAGGATGTTGGTCCATCAAAAGAATAAAGGTAATGCAAAAGCAGAATTTTTAATTATATGAATTAAATGAAACTGCAAAGTACCCTTACAGTAATTACAACTTACAAAGTAACACTTGTAAGGATCATTCTCACATACTTGGGATTTTCTTTCTTCTGTTTTCAGTGAGGAGAAGGAAATGTTGGAGTATGCTAAAAAAATTACTAAAAGAAATATTCAGAAATGAAATATATTGTTTACTTATATCTTAAAACAACAGGATAGCCTGTTCTTCTTTTTTTATAATGTCCATGGTCATGAATATTTATTAGTTAGGAACTGTTTCCTACATATGTGTGTGTTTTTTTTTTTAAGTTTGATTTTATCTTATTTTTTTTCTAATAAAGATTTGTCCATTTGAAAATGGGTTTAATCACTGTTTCCATAAAGGTATACTTATAATTTTATAATATCATTTTATGTTGAAGAATCCTATCATAGTTTCTACAGTAGCTTTCAACACTGATCATAACAGCAAATGTTTCTTGAGCGGCAAATCAGCAAATTAGAATGATTTCTGAAAATTCTGTCCTACATCCCTTATGTGTGCAACTTTTCTTTACAAAAGTGGCCTGGTGGCCCATCAAATTAAAATTAATCTTATAGTAATGCTATTTTTTATTATAAATAATAATGCAGGCAACATATATTTGAGATTGATGTCATATTGTATGTATTTTCTTTTTATTATTATATATTTTTTTTTGTGATTGGTTGCAAACCCACAGTGCATGAAACAGGAAATGTATGGCCTCTTGCTGTAGCCTTCACACTCCCATTTGACAGCTTGTGGTTAGACAGAAGCTGCATAACAGGATGTTAGAAGAGACAAGGGTCTCATGAAACAGAGCTGCAAACCTGCTTTCACTGTCCATTTTTGCAGCAAATCCACTGGCATTACTTAAGCCTTGACATGAAACTGTCTGAATTATGCCTTATATTGTCATGTAATGTTCTCCTTCCCTTCCCTCCATCCCTACAGTATGTAAATATACACACTGAGAGTGTTATGAAATATGATAAATAAATCAAATTAGTCTGCACATCTGTATTAACAAAGCATTTAAAATAAAAACATTATGGTTTGAGCTATCTACTCTACATAATATTTTTAAGTAGTTTTTAAAGCTTGATTTTTTTTTGATGGAATCTACCTGAATAACTCATGTAAAATCTCCTAAATTAATTAATCTATGACACAATGAATATAACATAATTAGTGAAATGTGCTCATTTATTTTAAGATGATTCTCAAAAGTCTGTGATTTTGAGTAAGGACTGTTTGACATTTTGGCTTTGAGTTATTTTGTACATTTAAAAGGCTGTATACAGCCAGACAGCTCAAGTAGTAAAATACTTGATAAATACTGGAAAGTACTGCACTAGCACTAGCAAATCTCACTGAACAAGGCAAATAATGCCTCATATCCATAACCATAAACTCTACTCTTCTGCACAATGGTAACGACAGAAACTTCAACGTAACAGAAACTCTTTCAAATGTCAAACATAACTGAACACTAAACATTAATAGATGTTTCCCTTCACTCAAAAACACATAAAACAGCACTTAATTTCAATATTTACTCTCCATATCCAGCCATATGCAACGCATGCTGGGAGCTAACAATCACCGCTAAAATAAAACTGCAAAATTGAGCTAATTCTCTTAAAATAAATAAGTAGACTTCTTTCCTTAATTTTTTTTTTTTTCAGTTAATCAGTTCCTCAATTCACAAACTGCTTGTTTCCTTTAAAAAAAATTAGGGAAAAAACACATCTCTTGGTTTTATTAGTGAAAAGTCCTCAATATTTTCTATACAACACTGAACCACAATTTCTTTAATGAAATATACACACTATTTTTAATTATCACCTTCATTTTTTTTCATGAAAATTACAAGACCAATGATTCTTTTTTTTTACTGAATACAATGAAAAATGGGTTAATGTTGACATATTGACTTGTAAGTTGAATTAGAGCAAAATGTCAAGCTTAAATGAATAATTTATACATTTAATTTATTTTATGTTCAACAATGTTAAACAACACTGCATGGACAAATTCACATTTCACAGGAGAAAGCAAGTCATTTTTCATTTTCATATTTGGGTGACCTGTTTTAACATGCAGTTACATAATTCATATATTTACTAGCTTGACACTGGACACTGTCTGAAGTGCAGGGTGGAGGAACAGTACTGTCAGTTTGTGAGTGAAGGTGTGGGCGTTGAGCATTGGCCGTTCTCACACCATGCTGCTCTTTTCATCTCACACCCGTGTGGTTAGATCAAAACAAGTGACTGCATCCAGATTGTACAAAGATTTTCAGAAAGCAGAGACTTTACCGGCAAGAAGAACAGCTTCTCAGCTTGCAGCGGAAAACAAACAAATCCATTAAAAGAATTGAAAAAATAAAAACCCTGCAAAAATAAGGCACAATGTGTGTTAATTTGAATGAGTTTCGTTCAGTATTGACTTTTTGTTTATCTGTATTTTGAAATTTGCACTTCATTGCATGTAAATGTCTGTCAAATTAATGGATAATGTCCTGGCATAAAATTACCAGCACATTTTTCTTCTTTTCTTTTCTTTTTTCGTTTGTGCTAAATGGCAATCATTTTGCAGTCTCTGTATCAGGGTTGTGTGCCATTCAGAATTGAATTTAGGATGCCTTTGATATTTCAGTTCAGTTCCTGAATTTGCAGAATTGCAATAGGTTAATAGCAAAAACGTACAGAATACATCAGCACAATATGACCTAAGAACTACATCAAACAGTATTAGTGGTGAGATTAAAGCAATATCAAACCATAACCACTTCTACAGTATATGAAACATGAAACCAGTTGTATGTGCTACTTTGCAGCCTGTTTGCTAAAATGAATATTACCATCATAGTGAGCTTCTGTACTACAGAGTGTCTGATTCGCAGCATAAATAGATGTTTCCCCCACTGTTGCTATAGGAAGGGCCACCCTCTGGTGAGTTTCAGTCAAACTCTTGTGTACTGGAACCTTGTTGCATTAAGATTGTTACAGGTGGTGATGTTAAAAGGTGCATTAGAGCCTTAAAACTGTTAAGATGGGTGCCTCGATGTGCTGTTGGATTTTATGCATTTCTTCTGTACCAAGTAAGCCAGTTATCAATATCATGACCTTTATTAATATTTCATCATGCAGAATATTTGCTGTATGCCTTTTTTATTCTCTCATTTGCAGCTACTCACTCGTTCATCTTGACTCAGTCACCGGGACTCACACACGTCTCAGTCAAGATGAACGAAGAATTAAGATGTATATTTGAGCAGACCGTTAGCTACTGCTTTAATGCTGCTGCATGGGAAAAGTTGAATCTACGGACTGGAAAACTCACGACTGTGAATACTAACCATGAGAATAAGGTTCGACAACATGATGATAAAACATGCGTTTTGACTCTTAATAACTTAATCCTGAAAGATTCAGGCATGTACTATTGTATTAGCCATTATAACCAAATGGCTGTGATCGGCAATGGGAGCAGGGTGATCGTATCAGGTAGGCCTAAATCTGGAGTGAAGTCTCATCACAATTTTTTTAGGATCAAAGTTACTAAAACAAGCAACATTTGACTTGCTGTTCTCTGCTTTAGATCGTTCTGTAACAAAACTATCCATCTTATACACACCACAAGAACCTGACTCACCATCGGTTTCACTGCAGTGTCTCGTGACTGGACTTGTCCCGTCTCAGGTGCGTGTGTTCTGGAAGATTGGACAGAATGAGCGTGCTGGATGGACCGAGACCGGCTGGACAGACGACACTTATTCAGCCACAGAATTCACACAGGCTCATCTCTCTGTTCCTGCAGAGGAGTGGAATAAAGCCGGTGAAATTCAGTGCTTTGCTAATTATGATGGCAAGAGCATCTCCAAAACTCTGACGCGAAGCGGTGCGTAAATGATGAAAATTGCAGAGAAGCATCAGGAAAAATGTTACACATTATTGCCCTCTTTTATTCTCTTTATTTTCAGAATTCTAAAAAAAAAAAGACCAGCAGTCGCTCTAATTGTCAAAGTAACTATAACGTTTTAATTTAAAAGGCCAATTACAGAATTTTTCCCTTTAGTTTTTTATTTTTATTTTTCAGGCAGTGGTTTTGTGTGTTTATTACAAACACCTGTCAAAACTCTGATTAAATAGCTCAAATTTATTTGAATATTTAGAATAATTTTAGTCATTCTGTTGTACAAATTATAACTAAATTTGGTCACACTTTATTTTAAAGTTCAATTCTCTCTATTAACAAACCATTAACTTTGACTTTTGCCTCAATAAACTCTTAATTTGCTGCTTATTAATAATTAGTAAGGTAGTTGTTAAGTTTAGGTATTGGGTAGGATTAGAGATGTAGAATGTGGTCAAGCAGAACATGTGCTTTAGAAGCCAATATGTTAATAATAGGCATGCTAAAAAGCACCTAGTTAACAGAATTGGTCCCTATACTAAAGTGTTAACCCTAAATTTAAATGTAATATCTGTTGTATAAAAAAGTGAAAAAAAAAATCACTTCTTGTACATTCAGGCAAGCTATATTAGGTCAATATAAAGAATACCAATAGACTAAATCCTTGTGTTAACTATAGAACCCTGTTCATTCTAAAACATTAGTGTATTAATTATTCATTATACTCTGATCATGGTTAATCTTTCAGAGTTGAATCAAAGAACTCTGTGGATTCTGTACTGTGGCTGGGGGACGGTATTGCTGACTATGGCCGTGGTCTTCTCTGTTTGTTTATGCCAAGGTAAAGATTTAAATCAATCTGGGAACCTGGTTAATTGCTATAGAGACCGCTAAGGAATTTTAACAAACTAATAACTAACTAAGTAACAAAAATACTACATACATGAAACCCAGACTTATTCTCATTATGAACATTCTGGTTTAAATAGCCTGTTGGTGATATGATGTAAATTGTGTAATTCTCAGGATGAATGGATGGATGGATGGATGAACGAACGAACGAACGAATGAATGAATGAACGAACGAATTAATGAATAGTGAAAGGAAACAAAAAAAAACTGAAATACATGGTTCATTTACAAAGTACTTACACAAAACTGGTAAAAATGGTAAGATTCAATTTAACTTTCTCCATTACAAAATTTAGAGATGCATATGACAAAAACATTTACAGGATCAGTATATCAAGCAATAGTATGTCTAAAACATTTGATTCATGCAGGAAAATATTTTCTAAATTCTACTGTAAACTGATTGATGCTGTTGCTATTCTGTGTGTATGGTAGATATATAGTCATCTAGTGCACTAAATCTGCCTGTAGCTACATCCTAACACATAACCGCACTGAATCTTTTATTAAATAAAGTCATATTGTGTTTTCCGTTAACAGGCAGACGGAGTAGAGAGACTGCAGAAACTTCATCTGTAATGGTATAGTCTAATAATTATATGTAAATATATTTATTGTTTGTTAAATGTTCCTTCTAAATAGTTATTGGTGAATTTGTAAAAAACGTAACATTTTTGAAAATGTGTTTAGATAAACCTATACAAGAGAAGTCAAAAATGATTTGGCAAGGACTGTCAAGTGTAGTTTTGTGAATGCTATATTAAATGTATTTATTTATTTTGTCTAGTTTTACCCTGCGGATCCCATCAGTTTAAGTCCAGCAAAAAAATAAAGGTAAAATTAAAACTTGTGAATTCTTTTTAATCATATTTGTTATGAGAAACAGTATAGTCAATCCTTAAGACCACTCTGATGTTTTCTTCAGATAATCTTTCCTTCTTTTTTTTTTTTTCAGGGCGCCACTGGAGATCAGTGTTATTGAAAGGAATGTTATACTATGCCAAACAATTACTAAAAATTAAAATGAATTACATTAAAATTTGCACCCTCCACTATTTATGTTGATGATGGTATACCAAATCATGTTATACTTTACTCTCTGATCTGACTTTCTTTTGTGCTCTGTGGGTGAACAAGCATCTTTCATACTTAATATAGAGTTGTTCTTGAGTCCAAATTATATGAATAATCCATATTATTGTATGATTATGTCTTCTCTTTTTCCCAAATAAAGTTGTTGTTTTTTCTGCTTTTACTCATTTGGAATGGAAATGACTTCAAATCCTTTGTTAGGAAGCAAAAGGGATTGAACTTTTATTCTGGTGCAGTTTTGAGGCATTGCGTTTGAATATGCACATGCACAAATGAGATCTGGGATTGGGAGCTATCGATTTGAGCAGGGTTTTCAGTGAGTAACAACTTATTTCACTCTGTTTAGCAGTTTATGCTATAACACTTTAGATCAGGGAACACTATTAACTAGTTGCTTAGCATGCATATTACTAGCATGGTGGCTGCCTGTTAGTATTTATAAAGCACATATTAATGCTTTGCATGACCATATTCTAGATCACTTAACCCTACCTAAACATAACTACAACAACTAGGCCTATAACTTACTTATTATCAATAAGATAGGCAAAGGCAAATTAGGAGTTTATTGAGGGAAAACGCTTAATAGTGAATATGTGTTCCCTAATCTAAAGTGTTACCATATATAGCCTATAGAAAACAAGGTTTTGTTTTTCTCTTGTGTATTCATGTTTTGAGTAGGTATTTCTGTTCATTTCCACATAAGTGGAAAGAAACGTGTCGGCAAAAGTTGAGGAAGGATCCTTTGAGCTGATGACCGCAGACTTTTAAAACTCCTTCATTCCACCAGCTTCTAGTGATTTATTCGTTTTTATAAAACGGATAGTTCCGGTCCTTGATTCTGATTGGCTGAGCCAAGTTCGAAACTGTTGTAAATTACTCTACAAACATACACCTTTGTTTACTTTTGTCCAACCACTTTGTTGGAACCACAACTGTTTCTGAGGAACTACATTGTTTGGTGGAAGAATACTGTTTTTATTAATATCATTACACTTTATTTGCTCTGTTTTATTTTGTGACGTGGTTTACAGTGAATTTATTACAGCTAAGGGGGTTGCTTCGCGTCGTGCCTAACAAAGCCTCTTAGCTGTTATAAATTCACTGTAAAATTTGGCGGCAGCACCTGAGGCAGTCAAAAACAGTATAGACATATGCCACTGATGCATAAATGATATATAAATGATGACATGTGAGGGAGCGCCCAAATAGTATTAGTAGTGTTGCTTACCACACGAGGGCGCTTCACGAGTTCTGAGCTCTTGGTTTCAGCCACAGCCCAGTTCTAGTAGTAATCCTGCTATATTTTCCAATGTTCCCTGCTTGTGTCATTTTGTATTTGTAAAAACAGTGATATCAACCTTTGCACTGTTTAAACACAGTTTGTCTCTGGAGTATGGATTTTTAATATACTTTGAAAAAGAGTAATGAAACACAGGCCTGCCTAACTGTACTTCTAATTAATCACAATAGCACAAATCTGGATAAAATGTCATTGGTGATTTTTACAGTGAAATATTTTTGTAAATGTCATAAAATCTGTTTGTTTATAGATTTCATATTAAGCAACAGATGACTGGAATATTTATTTTATTATTGGCCCTGCCAGTGTCAAGAAATATATTTGTTGAAATATGTATGTGATGTATATGAAAGTACATATTATTTTTCACCTTTTTTAACATTGCAGAAGCTATTCTAACTTCACCTTAAAAACCTATTGCATGTCTTTCTGGAATATGTAAGCAGTCATACATATAGAAACTGTGTGTGCATATTTTGTTTCCAATTGATTAGGCAATAAATGAAAAATAAATAAATAAGCAATAGGATGGCACATTAGATTACTTGTTGAGATGTGCAATCTAGGCCTTTATTCAGACTTAATCTCTCATATTGAGAAACTGCTCACACATTTACTAGTTTTAAATTTTTCATATTTTATATAGTTGAAGTTAAAAGTTTACATACACTTGCAGAATCTGCAAAATGTTAATTATTTACCAAAATAAGAGGGACCATACAAAATAAATGTTATTTTTTATTTAGTACTGACCTGAATAAGATATTTCACATAAAAGATGTTTACATATAGTCCACAAGAGAAAATAATAGTTGAATTTATACAAATGACCCCGTTCAAAAGTTTACACACCCTTGATTCCAAATATGTTGTTACCTGAATGATCCACAGCTGTTTCTTTTTTATTTATTTTTTTTTTAGTTTGTTAATGATAGTTGTTCATGAGTCCCTTGTTTGTCCTGAACTGCCTGCTGTTCTTCAGAAAAATCCTTCAGGTCCCACAAATTCTTTGGTTTTTCAGCATTTTCAGCATATGATCCACAGCTGTTTCTTTTTTATTTATTTTTTTTTTAGTTTGTTAATGATAGTTGTTCATGAGTCCCTTGTTTGTCCTGAACTGCCTGCTGTTCTTCAGAAAAATCCTTCAGGTCCCACAAATTCTTTGGTTTTCCAGCATTTTTGCGTATTTGAACCCTTTCCAACAATGACTGCATGATTCTGAGATCCATCTTTTCACACAGAGGACAACTGAGGGACTCATATGCAATTTGAAGTTCAGGGTAAATTTAACTTATTTTGTCTTTCTGGGAAACATGTAAGTATCTTAGCTTCTGAAGGGTAGTACTAAATGCAGCCTATTTAGGCAAAATAAGAAAAATGTAAAAATGAAAAATGTTCTGAAAAAGCTCTTAATGCATTTAGTATGATCCCTCTTATTTTGGTAAAATAATTAACATTTTGCAGATTCTGCAAGGCGTAGGTACACTTTTGACTTCAACTTTATACAGAGAGAGAAAGCGAGCGAGAGAGAGATTTTATGCACAAATTTGTAACAAATCAACATTTGTTTGATGTTTTCGGGTCATAGGATCAAATACATACATTTCTGTGGTTTAGAAGCGTCTTGCTAAAATTAATGAGGTTGTTAAAAAAAGTAGAGCAGTGACAAGGGCAAAAAATCTGGTTACACTGACAAGAGGATAGCAAGTGTCCTGGATATCTGAGGAAAATAATAAAATTAGAAGTATTGTGAGAAAATAATCAAAAACATTTCTTCTTAAAAATGGACAAAACATCCAAAATAATATAGATATAAGATCCGTCAAGAAATCCCACTGATCCCATTTTTGGACAGGTAATATTAAAACATTTGATTTGCTATCTTGATGAAGAGATATTATGAAAAGTTATTTACCATAATAATGCAGAGTTTTGTTGAACATCCATCCACCAAACTTCACAACGCAGGTGCACGCTCCTCCTGTCCTCCACTCCTCAGCCGATACTGCTACATAATTATGAGTTTTCACTGAGTTCTCTTCGCCTTCTTCCCAAACAAACAAAGTTTGTCCATTTTCCTTTCTACTCCCTATGAGCCAGTGCACATAGACCCGTGATGAAGCAAATCCTTCGACTGTACACTGAAGAGTGACTGTAGAGTCGTGGTTGTTGCTGCTGGCAAATGCCATGATATCAATAGACGGCATCACAGCGCTGTCAGCTGCAAGAAGAAAGATAAACACCACTTTACTGAGATAAAACAGCAAAAAGGACTGACACGTAATTATATAATAAAAACGTGAGATTTCTTATCAACACAAACCTTGAGAACCTTCGTGTTAGGCGGTAGTTCAGAAACTTTTGAAACTTTTTTGTTTATGCTAAGTTCTGATACAGTACCTTGTACAGTGACAGCTGTGCCATTCCCAAGATACATATGCTCACGGTCTGTAGCGATGCAGTAATACATCCCAGAATCCTGCACTGTTGCGTTGTAGATGGAAGCCTGACACACTGTGGTTTCCACCTGTTCTTTAGTCTGGTGAGGGATGTTTGAGTCCTGCAGAATGTCTATTATTCCACTCACGGGGTGTACTCTGACCCAGGCCACTGTGTGACAGAATGACTGCACCTCATTCAGCTGGCAGTGCATGGTCACTCTTTCACCCGATCTCACCTTCACTGACGGGGGAAACTGATAAACTGTACCCGCCATCGCTGCAAACGGATTCAGACCTGAAAATGTCAATAATTCAACAGTCTCCTATATGCTACTTTGCTAGTCTTACCAATTACACTAGTTTTAGGTACAAACTTACGGATATGCATAAATGAATAAAAATACTGGTAGCTTACCTTTTGGCGAAATTAAACAGAACAAGATAAGAAAAAGGAGGTCATACATGCTGTCTGAAGACTTCACAGGCCCAAGAAACTAAGAGAAATGTGCTGAGTGTGACAAATCACACCTTTTCCTGTCTTTTCCTGTCAACACCGGTTGTTTCTTCAGCTCTTAAAACTGTTAGGCTCAGTTAGAATCTAAACTGAGAAACAACTTTATTATATAACTCACCACCCATTACAAAACTGCAGATTGGACCACAACTGCAGTTATTGTTGTTAAGGCAGCACTATAAAACTGAAATTAAGCAGCAGTGGTTGCCAGAACTTTACCGTAAAAATATGGTAGCAACATTTTAGGTTTTACAGAATTAACTCAATTTTACAGTTATTGTTAACTGAAATAACGTTAATATACCAAATTACTAACGTAGCTTTTTTTTTACCTTTATAATATACTTTACTGAAAAACACTAGTGGTAAAGAGAAACTGGAATGATGCATCAGAGTTCATCACAAGTGTCTTTTCCACAAGGTAACCTAAATATTAATATATTAGAAGGTGCACAGTGTCATTCACACAAACACAAAACACAAACATGGTAACACACATGACACTAAAACAATGCAATAAACATTCATTTAACAAAATAAGATGTAACATAAAGCCCTAATGTAATAACTGAGTTATACAGTTATCAACTGTATATAATAATACAGTTATATAGGATATATATGACAGTCGAATTCACATCTATATTTGTATTTACAAGAGTGCTGATATACAGCTGAGCAGCACTGGGATTTTGTACTGTTTGCATCAGTCTACTTGTTTGTGTTTGCAATGATGCATCAGAGTTCATTACAAGTGTCTTTTCCACAAGCTAACCTAAATATTAATATATTAGAAGGTGCACAGTGTCATTCACACAAACACAAAACACAAACATGGTAACACACGACACTAAAACAATGCAATAAACATTCATTTAACAAAATAAGATGTAACATAAAGCCCTAATGTAATAACTGAGTTATACAGTTATCAACTGTATATAATAATACAGTTATATAGGATATATATGACAGTCGAATTCACATCTATATTTGTATTTACAAGAGTGCTGATATACAGCTGAGCAGCACTGGGATTTTGTACTGTTTGCATCAGTCTACTTGTTTGTGTTTGCACATACAGACAGTGTGTATGGAGGAATTTTTTTCTGTGACTTTTTCCAAAGGTTACTGTTAAGCTAGTAGGTGGCGACTAGTGGCTGTCCTAATAGTGAGTCTCTGAATCATCCATTCAACCAATTAATTTCCATTCATTTAAACACTGATTAATTCACAAATTGAAAGAATTTACGTGTGAGTCATTGAATCATTCACTCATCTTATTAGTTCAAAACACAGATAAATTTATGAATGAGACACTTTACCGTGTGTTGCTCACACAACTACTGGTCAAGCTTTGGCTTTTTTTTTGTTAGTGGAGCAAAAACGCAAAGAAATTGGCATTACTATAAAATGTACGTTACTCAATATTAACTTATATTCTATTGAACTACGGTATATGTTAGTCTGAATATCAGCACCACTGTGAATCTGTGTTCTTGTGCCTATAGCTGGAACGACAGCACTCTTGCTCATGTGATATTGTTTAATTAGAAATGTAATAAGTATAATGGATGCATTTATTTTATATTTCACAGAAACTGGATACCATGGTTTTTCAAGCTGTACTGAAACTTGAAAGAATTTCAAATGAGAACTGCATGAATTCTGCGTGGGATGAGTAAAGTGGCCAAATCATGTCATCTTTGTTGCACTCTTGATGTATAACACAAAAACTGTCATCTATTTAACACAAGACAATGATGACTAAACACATGAACATGATTTAAGACTGAAGCGATGTGGCACATGGTTGTGTCCTATTTCATTTGAACAAAATCAGCAATTTTGTTCTTCCACCAAAGTCTTTGGGGTTGGAATTATGCATGCATGCAAGTTTTTCCGCTGACAAAGTAAAGTGTGGACATTAACCAATGTGAGGTGAGGTCCACATCACCATTTTGGTTGCGTGATGCATGCAACCACACGATAAAGAGGACACAGAGATACAATAAAACTGAGGAAATGAAAAGAAAATCACTTCCTGGCCCTGCCACACATAACAGAAGCCACATAAGGCATTATATCTAATAATTGTTTTGTTTTTTTCCTTACAATTATCACACTGACAGTTTCATAGGCTATAGGTCATAAAAACAGCATAATATATGAAAATACAATTGTTTATATAGTTATTTTATTTTCTCTGGTTTTAGATTATTGGTGTAAATTCATATAATTTCAAGAAAAAGTGGGTAAAACAATATGTTTATTTTATTCAGGTTTTTTATTCACTCTATTGGAATAAACAAAGTTTAGAACATATTGGATGAAAGTATAAATTTACCCTTTCAGTTCACAAAATAAACAACACTATTCAAAACATCAAAGATCCATAACGATCAACAAAAATCTGAACATAAACATCACAATTACTTATGCTTTTTGGGAAGAGATATCAACATATTAGCAGGGACGTCCTTGGGGGGGGTGCAACTGGTGCGGTCGCACCGGGCCCCACGCTTGAGGAACGCCCCCCGGAACGCGATCGCGAATGGACCGAGGGGGGCCCCGCTCCCTACCTCGCACCGGGCCCTGCGTCAGCTAAGGACGGCCCTGCATATTAGTAACTGTTGCCATCTTTCATCTGATGTACAGCAATGCCAAATACCAAAATAAATTTGATGAATAAAAATGTGTTAGAGCAAAATAATGGATATAAACTGAAAACTCTTTGAAACTATATGTATTTTACAGCATAACACACATCCGGTGCATCTGTGGAGACAGAAAATATGAAAAAGTTCATTTAGAAAAATAAATCATAGAATATTCAATACAAAGATGATCACTAGAAAACAATGAATAAACTAACATTAGGTTGGGGTCAGTAAGATTTTTTAAGTCTCTTACGCTCACCAAAGCAAGCTGCATTTATCTGATAAAAATTAAAGTAAAACAGTAATAATGTGAAATATTATTAGAATTTAAAATAGCTGATTTCTATTTGAATGTAATTTAAAATGTAATTTATTCCTGTGATGCAAAGCTGTATTTTCAGCATCATTACTCCAGTCTTCAGTGTCACATGATCCTTCAGAAATCATTAAAATATGCTAATCTGTGTGTTTGATTTATCGTTATATTGTACCATGTGGCTGAAGTGCCTTGGTATAGAGCTGTCCTCCAAACTCCACTACACACACACACACACACACACACACACACACACTGCACCTTCCGTTCCCACTCCTCAGCAGTAAACAGAATCTGGTTCCTAGAGATCTGGATGGCACCATCGTTTTCATGTGTCAAAACTGGCTGTCCTTTCCCTTTTCTCCTCTCCACAGTCCAGAACATATGAACCTGAGAAGCCTCGACCCCGTTCACAACACACTGAAGAGGGACCAAAGGACCGTTCGTGATCAGCGGAGTAAGAATATCAATAACAGGAAACACAGTGTGTTCTGGAACGAGATTAGGGGAAATATTTGGTTACAATGGAAAGAAATACTAAACATAATAAAGCGTTTGAACTGTTTGTGGCAGTCATTATGTTGCTGTTCAATGGGTTTACTCTAAATCAGTCCATAATGAAGATGTGAGGCATATACACGCTTAAAAATTCCATGAAGAACATCCATGGAAACTTTCCATTCCACAAAAGATTCTTTATACTGGAAGAAGGTTCTTTAGATTAGCGAAATGTTCTTCACACTAAGAAATAAATTTGTTTCTAAGTACTAAGAGCTAAGAACTAAGAAATAAGTTCTTTTATGTACTGATCATAGAAGATTCTTTGGGGAACCAGCTGCATTGAACCAGTTCAGTTGCAATGCTACGGAAACAGTTTCTTCAGCTGCATTGCTTCGAAAGCCAACTTTTTAAAACTTCAGTTTTAAAAGTGTTTAAAAGGAGCTGCAGATAATTCAGCAGACAAATCTAAGAATAAGACCATTTCAAACTGCACCGACAGACACAGACAAACGGCAACAGACATGTTTGCCAAGTTTGTCTAATCAGAGAGTTATCCCTGTCAGCATCTGTTGGCTTTGGACGCCGTTTGTTTTTGTCCTTCTTGGAACGTCTGAGAAGTGACTCAGAAAAAATTTAATAATAATAATAATAATAATAAAATTGGCAAATATTTCTCAGCTCAGGCCATAAATGTCAGGTACCACAGACACCCATTTATTTTTATTGAGAAAATGAATAGAAATATGCAATTCATTTGGCTATTTTTAGTAAAGAAGACACTCCTAAAAGTTATTTGTGGTGTTTTGCATATCTATTTTGGGCAGTGCATTGTCTAATAATTCAAAACGGCTTAAAGTTGACCTTCCAGGGTGCCAGCATTTTTATCTTTCAACTTCTATTTACGTATTGTGGCGAGTATCCCGAGTCCAGATTAGCGTCGCCCTGGGAAGGCACCCTGGGAGAGGGATCTGCACCACGGCACTTCACCACACGAGCACCACGCTGAGACGGGCACCGAGCACCATTCATCAGGGCACGTGTGATCAGTGTGTGGGCAAATAAATCACCCTCCTTAGGAGCCGATAATACCGTCCAACGCATCCGGTACCGTTTTCACTGGTCCGGACTAGAGGCGGAAGTGAAACGGTTCTGCCGTAGCTGTCCCACCTGCCAGCAGACGTCTCCGTGCCGTCCTCCCCCCAGCCCGCTCATTCCACTATTCTAATACTGTCAAAAACACACAAGGTTTACATATAAATAGTTGGTTATGTCTAAAATGAAAGTAAACAGTTGAGAGAGAAACGCATGAAGCTCTTAAAGGGACAGTAGCTACCTTTTATATTTTGTTAAGGTGTAAGAGGTGTTATGTTTCTGCACTCTTCCATTTTTAGCAAATTAAGAAAACTTTGTCTAAAACAATTTTTGTGATGGTTTGTATTTTTTGTGCTCTGTATGGAACATTAGTGCCTGTTTAAGTGATGAACTCCATTACTTGTGTTTGTTTTCAGACATGATAACAGACGTTTTATACGTGTGCTACAACTTTTTGGCCTGTGCTACAAAACTTTCAACCTCTGTAGCACCAGTGCTATGTGAAAAAAAAAAAGTTAACGTACAGCCCTGATTATTATTATGATTATATCTCACCTTTCACAATGACTCTGGATCCATTACCGATGTGAGCAAAGCGGCTTTGCACAGCTGCGCAGTAGTACATACTGGAGTCATGCACCGTTGAATTGGTGATAACAGCGGTACAAATACTGGTCCACTGGTTTGGATGAGTGATGAGGATCGATCTGAAGTCTGTCGGTCAGGCTGATCGTTGCATTCTCGGGAATGACTCTCAGCCAAGCCACTGTTGAACACGGGGAGTACAGCTCTACAATGTTGCACTTTAAAATGACATCTTCTCCAGCATCACCTCAGCCACTGCCGGCCATACAATGAACGGCTTTGTCGCTAGATCAAAAGATTGGAATGTTTGTTATTGTGTTATCTCTTTTCCATTGTGGCTTTTATATATCTCAATTTCAAACAACATAAAGAAGCGTTTAATTTTTGTAATTACAACATTCCAGCCCGTCAATGTATAGGCCATCCATTATCATTTGCCTTCTGCATATTAAATGTTTGCTAAAGTGAAAAAAATATCACATGCAAAACACAAATATACAAACAAATAAATATATCTCACAGATTAAAGCACATATACCTTTAAATGCATTTGATTTTTCAAGCAATTTAGTGGACTATAAAAAATAAACAAATTGTTATGAAATTAATTATGAAATTACTCAAATCTGCTTACCTGTTCCCACAGTGTGAGACACCCAGATCATCATCAGCCGGATGCTCATCAAGTCTGACGATCACAACAGAATCTAGCCTTCATTTGACTAGTTCAGCAAAAACCTGGTCTTCCTTTCAGTTGTCTGATAAGGTCTTTTTGCAGTAGATAATGACTACAGAAAACACAGGATACTCAAGACTATGGCCCTAAAATTGCACTTGTTTTCATATCTGTAAGAGTTGAAATGACTGAGTGTATTGAGTGTATTTCATGACTCTTAATAAAAAAAAAAAATAAAATAAAAACATCTGTACTGGTAAAGCTCAAAAATTCACCTTTAATCAGTACTAAAACAACAAACGTTCAGCAGTTATGCTACTTTATGCGACTTTTTGCAGATAAAATAAATGTAACAAACTAATGTCCTTTTAGAGCATCAGTTGATAATATGAATAGATATGAAAACATAATTCATATTCTAATGCCATTTAATTTGATTGAAATCAAAGAATAACTGTACATCGCTGGTCCTTTTTTTTCACTGGGGGACGAGCTCTAGTTTTTTTTTCTAGGCAGTAGGAATTCCACTCTTCGAAAAAAGTTGATGTGGAGGTGAATTAAAATGATTTTTTTAGATTTTTTGGCTAATTTTAATGCTCAATTTATTTTCAGTCATATTGAGGCCCTGCTGACAGTTTGCTGAGGCCCCTAGTGGGCCCCAGGCCTCTGACTGAGAACTGAAATATGGAGAAATATGGAGCCTGTGCTCCAGTACCGATGAAAGGATCGAAACGGATACAGGGAGAGTCATGACTCTGTGATGTCAGTAGTTATGAAAAATAAAGGCAGGGTAGACGTAGATTCACTTTAGCACAGGTTTGAACAGGACAGGGTATTGTGACATCAGCATCAGAATAGGCAGAGTAAATACATATTCTATCAGTCATATTTCAACCCTTGTTGAGGTGACAGGGAACTAATCCTTATGCGCTCAGGTTTCCTGCTTCTCTAGATACTTCTCTATTTGAAAAGTAACAGGTTGGAAGGCACACTGATATTAAAGTTAAAGTTATGTTGCTAGTGACCCTACAGTAGGACAAGCAGATTAATATATATATATATATATATATATATATATATATTAACCAATTAAAAGCCCCCCCTCCAAATAGCATTTTTACTATAGTACTAATTTTCTAATGGTTCTGGCAAAATAAACATTTCATGATCAAATTAACTATATGTGACCCTGGACCGCAAAACCGGTCTTAAGTCGCTGGGGTATATTTATAGCAATCGCCAAAAATACATTGTATGGGTCAAAATTATTGATTTTTATTTTATACCAAAAATCATTCCAATGCTCTCTCTGTTTAGTCATTCACAAGAGTGTGGCATTTATTGAAGCACCTTTGTAAGGTAGATGATGACACACTCATGAGCACATTTTGACGCTGAAACTCTGAAGTATATGCGTAATCTATGCACCACAACCATACAAGTGTGAACACGAGTCTGTACGTACAAAGCACATTTGTTCTCTTTGCAAGTATGTAACATTTGCAGTGGACTGCAGGTAAAACGGGCAGTCTGCAAATAGCAGCTTGCCATCAAAAAACTGTGTGGTATGTGAAGAATTTTTTTGTGCATACACCCAAACTAAATGACAATGTGTAGCAAGAAAAGGAAAAAATGTGACCATCTACAATGTATTTTAAGATGGTACTAAACCATGATTCTTTCAAGTTGACACAGAAACAAACAGTAGAGTAACAAACCAGAATCAACATGCACTAAAGAAACTGACAATAACACTTCATAAGCCAGACACAAAGGGCCATTGTATTCCCTGTTTCATTGTGAAAAAGAAGTGTGCTTAATTGTACTGAATGTGCTATTGTAGTGTACTTCAAACTATAAAAGCATACTTTAAAAAAAAACTGTACCTGCAGATAATGAAATAAAAGGCCACTTTAGTTCACTTAAAGAGAGCTCATGTTTTTAACACACTTAAGTGCAATTTTATAAAGTGCACTTTGTACTAATGTCAAATGAATACAATTTTAAGCAGTACACTTATTTTGATGTGTTGACTAGCATACTAAAACACAAAGTACTTGATTATAATTTTAACGGTAGTGTGTTATTCACTATTGCATTTAAAGTTAATATATTTTAAATTAACTAAATTGCAACTTCATCATTACAAATGTGTAATTAAAAATATATTTATATGCATGACATATAAGTTTCAATAGAAATTACATTAAAGTACATTTTTAGTTTACCATAAATGCCTGTCAGTACATTCAGCAATAAACTTATTTACCTTTATAACCAAAACAACAGAAGTATGAAATTACATATAAAGACATACTCAAGTCGTACTTTAACTAAATTGCAACTTCATCATTACAAATGTGTAATTAAAAATATATTTATATGCATGACATATAAGTTTCAATAGAAATTACATTAAAGTACATTTTTAGTTTACCATAAATGCCTGTCAGTACATTCAGCAATAAACTTATTTACCTTTATAACCAAAACAACAGAAGTATGAAATTACATATAAAGACATACTCAAGTCGTACTTAACTGTCAGAAAAGCACTTCAACTAACTGGATTTAATATTAATTTAAACTGTTATTAATTTTCATTAAATTGTAAATAATATGTAATTAAGTGTCTGAAAACCCTATTCAATTCACACAAAAGTATATTCTTGTGAAGTACATTAGTATGCTAAAGTGTACTTCTTTTTCAAAAAGGGTTGTGTACATATGGCAAAATGAAAAAAGTCTCTGAACGCTTGAAATATTCATATGATTGTGCATGTGTAATTCTGCTTGTTTAAACGAGTCAGTTATACAAAGCCCACTAGGTATCAATCACCATTTTTGAACTTGCACAAGAGGGTGGTGCAACTGTTTGAAGATGAGGACAGACTGACTAATTCAGTGCTCAGTTTGTTTATGTGTAAATCTGCGTGATTATACACACCTGTGCATTGCTGTCCTATATTCTGTACAAGTAATACGCTCATGTAATGCTGTCAAAGGTGTGTCATGTCTAGTACTCTCAGTGCACCCACCCAAAATGCTGAGCATGCCCTTGCCTGTGCATTACCAGAACTGTTCAGAAAACAAGCAGAGGAAAGCCAATGAATTTTGATATGACCAGGGACACGCCTTGATCAATAGGAATCCCACTATAAAGTATTTTTGAAGGCTTCCTGGAAAGAATATCATAAAAAATACATACAGTCCTGTTACCCAAAGCAATATACAGCGCATTGAATATCTGCCAGAACTTCTCAGTTCTTTAAAAACAAAAGAAAAACTAGCCCAATGCAAACCCAACCACACGTTCTTGAACTAGGGCCTGTTGTTGCGCAAACTAATTTTTATCCTGAGAGCTTCCAGATGTGTTCCCAAAGGAGCAGTAAGTCTGTTTTCCAATAGTTTTATCCATCAACAAAAATGTGTCATACCGAAACCTGGTTTTCCAGAGTTTTTTCCAGAGTGCGGAGCCTATGAAACCCGATCGTCTCCGCCCCGTTAGGTTCACTGTCCTAAAGCATCAAGTTACAGGAGACATTTTTCCCATAGCAGTCTCTAACACGGAAGGTGTGTTTAGTTTTTTTCTCCTGAGTGGGAGGATTCAGGATGTCAGCCAAGATGTGACAGAAGCGATGGGACGCTGAGAGTGTAAAGTAACGAGCATTGCACGACGGGAACAGTAAAGTTTATCTAGAGCCAAGAAAATAAAACAACTCACGTCAAATGGCGACACAGGTAGGTGGTTTACGTTATATTAGTCTATGTATTTGTGATTGCTCGTTTACATTTCAATTGGGTTTCATGCAGTTATGTGTTTATGAGTTTTTACATAAGCTGCGTTTCGTAGGTTTGTTCTCTTGAAACTTCGCGTTTCTCGGTAATCTTCCGCACTTGACCGAAACGGTGTCCAGATGCTGTTGTTTGTTGTTGTCAAAGGAACTAGTTTTTATTAAAGGTTATTCGCGATTCTCTCTCTCTCTCTCTCTCTCTCTCTCTCTCTCTC